CTCAAGACTAAACCTCAAACAGTATTTGCATGTAGTTTTTTGTACCTTATTGAAGTAGGAGCAATATGAAGCAGACTTTGAACATTATTCTGTTTAAGTTACAGTTCTGTTTAAGTTACAGTAAACACCATTCATATCAAAAGGAAAGCAGGATTAAACAGCAATGAAGAATTATGTGCAAATACAATTATTTTTTTCATATCACTATAAGATCCAACCATGTTATGTCGTCACAGTCAGTAGCAGAGATTGAATAGTTAAAAAGAAAGGTCTGATTTTATAAATATGATTTAACTCAAAAACAAAACAAATTTCTAAAAACAAAACACAAATAGTAAGTAATTAGATCTTCCTTGACCTTTATTTAATAATTTCATGGGGTCAATCAAACTATGATCAAAAAGCACTCAGCATTACTACTACTACTACTACTATTACTACCAACCGTAATTGCAATATATAGACGCCGCTAGCTTGGCTAATAAACTGACCTGTCCACCTGCCATATAATGGATCCAGTGCATGAATGGGTTTATACATGTAGAGCTCCGGAGCAGGCCATTATTCTCTGCCACCTGTACACTGAGGGGCTGAGTAACTGATGTAACTTACCCCGTCTCTCTCACATCCTCTCTTTGTGTCCCTCCTCTCCCGTCCTGTGCTCATCTCTCCACGGCTTCCATCTCTTCCTTCTCCAGATCCCCTTATACCCTCTGACTCTGAACAAAGTTAACGTGCTCGAGTGCTCAAACTCGAGTTGATGGACGTATTAACTTTGTTACTGATCTTGCTTTTGCAGTCTCTTTGTTGCTCTGTCTTCCGCTGTCTCGCTTTTTCTTTTTCCCTGTCCTCTACTTTCACTCGCTAAGATAATTCCTTTCTACACCCCTGCCTCTCTTCACCATCTCGGGCTCGACTCTGTTGTGTAATGGTTGTTCATTGGCTGACTTACTCCCTCCCTTCTTCCCCCTGACTCCCCTCCGCTCACACTGTCTCTCTCAGGGAGATCAGCCCTGCACTGGGCATGCTCAGTCAACCACCTCTCCCTCACAAGGACCCTCATCCGCTACGGGTCCGCTGTGGACCTGCAAGACAACAAGGTGAGTTCTGAGTTTCTTTATCAGACGTTATAAAGGAGGACTTATCCATTCGTTGCACACACATCTGTTATAGTCCACATATCCACATTATTGCAATCTACTGAATTGTACTATACTGTACAGTTTACATTATGTTTTATATCATTTACTTGTATTTTACATGTATATCATTTACTAATTCCTGCATTTTACTTGGCTTTTTGCCGCTATTTTGTTTCTTTATTTCTTTTTATGTAAGAAGTATACATTTTTGATGGAGCCTGGGTTTAACATTAAAGCCTCTGAAGCCTACATGTGGACTGTGTTTGTTTGACTTATTTCCTCCAGACATGATAGAATTATGTTTTTTAAAATTATGATATCTCATGTAGGGCGAGACAGCGCTCTTCCTCTCTGCCATCCATGGTTGCTATGATACGGCCAGACTCCTCCTCCTACACGGGGCCAACCTGGAGCTTCACGATCGGAGAGGTCGTCGCCCGATAGACGTGGCCAGAGAGGGCATCCATCACCAGATCCTGGAGCTCCTATTGGCTCACCAGATTCAGAGAGGGCCTGTTCCCGTGGACTCGGCCAATGAGATGCTGTGGGAGGAGCGCACTCTGATTTACTCGCCGTGGGTCGGGTCACAAGGCATTCCTGGAAGAAGTGCCTCCTTCTCCGGGATCATAGGGCATCGAGATATGACCCCACCGCCACAAAAGTAAGGCTTATCATAACATGCTCAAGATGATGTGCCACCAAATAAGTCATTGAGAATTTTACGATTAGAGCTAAGTGAAAAGATAAATCAACTAGTCCATAAACAGAACAATAATTTGCAGCAATTAGATTATCAATGAAACCAAAATAAACTATTTTTTGTAAATTATTTGCAAATGTTAGTCAATTACTGTAGCTAAACATCACATAATACTTTGTATTCGCTGTTTGGATGAAATAAGTATTTTACACTTGTGTATGAAATAAGGGGTGTGGGTATCGAGTACAATAACAAAAATTATTGACAAATCAGATATCACTTGATAATTACTGACTAAGATAAATAATTATTATACAGAGTTCTTTTTTTAAATATTGTCCTAATGCAGTCCCTGTTCTGAAAATGCTTCAATGGTGGTGAATTCAAGACAACTTGGTGTACAAGTTTAAAATGTTACCCTTTCTTCACAAGGAAAGAAAATCTATATTTGACCAAACGTCTCTGTTACTGTTGGGCGTCGTAACATTGTGATGATTGTCTTGTCTTGCCAGTGATTGGTCGATGAGCCGGGTGCAGTACCCATCCCTTCAGAACTGGCGACCACAGGTCAACCAATCGGCAACAGCGCTGGTCCCTCCAAGAATCATGGGCCGCTCTCCTCGGCCAATCAGCACCTTACAAGAGGTGACCTCAGAAGACGAGGATCGTGATAGGAGCCAGGAAGTCCCCAGAGCTGCAACACCTCACTTCCTGTCGCCCCAGCCTGCGCCTCGGCAACGTTCCTTTTCCTGCACCCAGCATGCATTGCAGCATCGCTCCAGTGGCCACCAGCCAGAGCCCAATTACATTATCGTGACAGACAGAACAGCCAATGAGCCCGTAGAAAGAGTTGTTGTTTCACCTCCCACAGATGCTGCCAACCAATCAGATCGCCCGCCAGTTGTAAACGGTGATATTCCTAGAAGAGCAAATTCAACAAATCCAGAGCATAAATCCAGAGGTGAGAGGTTAAACAACGCTTCTGACTCCACACAAACAGCCTTGTAGAAAACCCAGCTACACATTTCTGCCCATTAGAATAGCATTGAAGAACACGTGACGATAATGACAATGCAGCATTATGACAAAGAGGCACTGAGTTTTAGTTACGTATTTTGAGTATTTTGTGCCAGAGTCCGCAATCTGCAGGGAGTCCAACCTTGATTTACTACTGTACTTTTGGGATTTTGTTATCCATTATGCATCTGTTGAGTGTCGTCTGACTGATTTGCTTGTTAGATTTCTTATGTTTTACATTTCTGTCAAACTAATACACAGCAGCACTTATTTCTTAAATCACCACCCCAGTTTTTACTCAGCCTTGTCTAAATTATTATTATTATTATATTTTTTACTAGGGAGGAGGATTTTGTTTTTTGTAAATATTATGTTACATGAGATGTCAAATAAAAAACTGTTCTGAGATGAACACCAGTCAAACGTGATGAATATCACTGAAACTGCAACATCTTGTGAATCTTGTTGACAAATGTTGTAATATATACATATTGTCTTTACATCAAACAGGTTGTATTTTGATTATTGCAAAGAGAGTCAAAAATAAATAATTCAAATAAACATGCGCTTGGTTGCACAAGAATGTGAGACATGATGCATGCAATAAAGACTTTTCCATGCACATTTATATGGAACTTTTTTTTACTCATACACTTATTATCTAACATACCTAACCCTTACTCAGCATAAGTGTTTTCTCAGTTTGACTGCCATAATAAATGTATTTTTTGTCTTAATTTATACTTTCATACAAAATCTTAGGGTTACACATTACAAATACCATGCCCATTTAAGACTATACTTACGTTATGATGTTGCCTGCAAGTGTGGGGACATACAAATAATATACTCTATGACCTTTAAACATATTTCTTACACAAAAATTGGGATATTGTGGTACACAGGAAAACTTTTTTAAACTGTTTTAATTAAAGCTCTTTTTTGGTTATACATTTTTCTTTAAACATAAAAAAAACATTTAAGAAGGTTAGGACACAATAGTTTGATAGAACACGGAACAAGAGACAAACTTGAGCTAAAAACAACTCAACAACAGCGACTTATATAGAGCTGTAATTGGAACAGACGTCACACCAAATGTTTTTAGATAAAGAGAAGTCAAAGGTTTGAGACTCTTTCTTGTGGGAAAAGAGGAAGTGGCGCTGCGTTTACAGCTTTATGACCTGTTAAAACTGATACATGTCTGCAGAGGGTCGCACAAAGAGAGGAGACACTTCCCACGTTCCCACACGCATTCGCAGACGTTTGAAATGTAAATTAGTTTGAGACCGAATGAAAACTTCGTTGTATGAAAAACTGCTTTACGCACGGTAAAATAACTCAATCTTTACGCACTCATTAGTAACTGGACAGAACAGTGATTCTTATTCTAAATTAAATCTCTATTCAAACTGTCAAAACATTTTGATCAATACATTTCGTTTTTTTAAGCTAGAGATATGACCTATGCCACGAGAATATCACTTTTACGCAATACTTTCATTCCTTTTCCTTTAATGAAAAACTTTTTTATGGTTTCAGTTTAAATGTAACTACAATAAGATATGCATACAGTTTTAAAATAAATCTGAGTTCCTAACATACTTCTAATTGAAGGCTTATTATCTTACATGTATTGTATGCATTTCATTTTTCTAATGTTTGACCACGTGTATGCATATCAAAGATTTTCAAAGTAAAGGAGTGAGGATTAAACTTGTTACATTGTGTGAAACGTCACTGCATGGCGCCTCTCATCCTCACGTGTGGCAGCACCAGTCCACACTTATGCTTATGTTCCTCAGGGCACGCGCCAGCAACATCAATTAACACATACGCATTGTTCAATTATTTTTCATTTTTGTTTATTCGCAAATGACAAATAAATATAAATTAAGGTGCAAAAATGCGTATCAATATGACATAGTTAGCCTTTAAAGACTACAGCAGCACTTGGTGTGATCAAAATACATTTACAGTATTTACATATTGCCAGACTTAACAGAATGTAGGATTTCATGTAGGATATATTGCACTGAAGACTTCCTTGAAATCGAATTAACAACACATGTTCTTTTATAAATAATAACCGGCCTGTTAGAGTCATTAAAAGTTCAGTTTTTGGAGTCACTGCTTCTGGATCAGGGCCAGGGCCTCCAAAGGGACTGGCCGGCTGTGATGCTCTGAGGCGGGCTCTGTTTGCTCGCTGGACTCGCCACTTTGCGGGGCTGGTGGGGAGCTGTGGCAGAGCGATGTGATTCTCCGAGGGTCTGAACACAACTGAGCACAGAGGGGGCAGGTGTGCGCAGCTTGTGCCCGGACCTGTGTATCAGCATCCGAAGAATATACGTGGAGGAGTTCCTGAGAGAGCTGGACGAGGAGTAGACTCCGGTTCTTCTATGGAAGCCTGCAGAATCAGAGTCTAAACTGGAAACGCGAGCAGCAAGAGATGCATCCAGTGCTGCTCCGAGCCACAGGCCTTTCCCATCAGGTCCGAGGAAACGTGACGCTCTCTGTAGACAGGTGGAGAACCCGTCCTGGTAGGAGTGTTTCTGGGCTCCAGCAGCATCTCCAACTCTCGTGTTGTCTTCTTCAGCAGTTCTCTGCAGGAAGAGCACAGTGTGCTCGAGTATCTCAGCTTTCTCCACTCTGCGCTGAGAAGCTTGCTGGGAAAGACACAAAATAAGTTAGTGAACAGTGTATCAGACACTTCTAAAATGCATTTAAATCCGAAAAAAGAAAAAGTATTCCAGAGAGTTTGGGTTCCTTACCTGTTGCTGCAGTAAAACTGTCTTCAGGCTCTCCAGACTGCGGTTCATTCTCTCTCTTCTACGTCTTTCAACCTGAGGTTTGAGATTCTGAGAAGAGGAAAACAGATACAATGATTAATGAATGAACGACAACTGCAGGCAAAATAGTTACAAATAAAGCTGGGAGATTCAAAATATTATTTAAAAGCAAAAAAGATTCAAATACCTTTTTGTCGAACTTCGCGGCCTCTGATTCGTGAATCAATTTCATGATGAAGATCTTGTAACAGCAGCAGAATCGGTGTCGGTCAGAGCTTAATGTACCCATCGATGCCACAGCTCGAGGTTTTATGCCATAAGACATGTGGGCGTATCTTTAGGCTCCACCCACCATATGGTCACAGACTTTATTTTCCCCCAGGTTTTTACACCTTAACGAAGCCACTAAACTCTATTTTAAAAAAGTCGTCAATGTTTGTAAAACATAAATTGAAAGACTACTCATGTTGTGACCATTTTTTTGCTGTAGTTTGACTGTCTGCTTTAGTTCAATTAAAAGTCATGAGCTGGAAGTATCAGTGGAAAAAGGTAAGCTATTATTGTTGAAACATAAAATAATATGTTTGATGTTTTATTCATGTCCTACTTTCTCTATTATTTATTTTAATACATTTCGATAATTCTCTGAAGATGACTGCAGAATGAACAGCGCACCTAAAGACCCTTCACTAATCTGCAGGCACGTGCAGCTGCCCCGCTGAGTGTCAGTGCCACGCGCCTGTGAAAGGTGTTGCCAGCTCGTGTGACACATTTTACATATATGTGAGAAAGCAACAAGCATCCGCCAGAACAGCGTGAAGCCCAGACAAACGAACGAGGGTGACTTCTCACGCCCTCATTATGGACGACCAAACGAGACATGTCCCCAGGCCTATACTGTCAGAAGAAATCAAAGAATATCGGGAGAAATCTAAAACGTTTTTAATAAGGGCTCAGTAAGGACTCACTAATAATTGAGGTTCTCATAAATGCTCGAAAATCTTCACCAGGGAAACTTTTATGTCGTGCGTAAAGTCCACTCGTTTATGCACTGCTTTGTTGAAGTTTGCCTCATGGTTATAAGTTACAACAGGTCAAAAATCGCAGTCCAGTGTTAAATACATGTTACTGTATTCAAAATATGTTTCTCAATATGCAACAACTCCAAAGTCGCCTGAAATTAGCGTTTACGTGTTGCGCGTAAAGGTACATTTTACGCATGACTCTGCCTCTGCACATATATGTGAAAAGATACGATTAAAACCAAATGGTACATTTCATGATCACATTCTGAGAAGCAACTCGTGGGAAACCGAAAGCCACGTCTCCCCCAAGCACGCTTTGTTATGATGTCTCAATTCTCACACGTAATAAAGTAAGAATACAGCACCGTGCCGAAGTTTCCCATGAGAGGGAGTTGAAGGAGCTATTCTCACAATTTACAATATTATTGAAAGTGTGTCGGTGAGGAGAGTCCACTGAGTTAACACAAAATAATCAAGTCCTTGTGTCATCTGTTGTTGTATAATTTAACAATAAGTCTATATTATCTATGTTCAAATACGTTACATTTTGTCTAATGAAAGTACTCAAGAGACAGCACAAGCATGCGTAAAGACTGTTCTTTTGCGCATGGCTATTATCAATTAGTTATGGATAACAACGTCATTTTTTTACTCTTGTCAAATCCTTGAACGGTTATTTTCGAAACGTCCCCTGCTTGTGGGAAACTGAACGTCACCTCTCCTCCAAGCTGAAAATGAGGTATCGGTTTTAACAGGTAATAAAGTTAACATGCAGCCTCCTGCTCAACGTTCCCATGAGAAAGATTTTGGGGATATTCTCCCATGACGTGCCCACGTTTCCCATGAGAGGGACTTCAAGGAGCTATTCTCATAGTTTACACTATTATTGAAAGTGTGTCGGTGTGGAAATTCAACTCAGTAATGACACAGTCTACACAAAATAATCAAGTCCTTGTGTCATCGGTTGTTGGATCATCTAACCAGAACTCTATTTGATATATTACAAATACGTTACATTTTGTCTAATGAAAGTACTCAAGAGACAACACAAGCATGCGTATAAAGACTGTTCTTTTACGTATGGATATTATCGATTAGTTACGGATAACAACATCATTGTTTTACTTTTGTCAAATCCTTTAACGGTTATTTTCGGAACGTCCTGCTTGTGGGAAACTGAACGTCACCTCTCATCCAAGCACACTCTGCAATGAGGTATCGGTTTTAACAGGTAATAAAGTTAACATGCATCCTCCTGCTCCACGTTCCCATGAGAAAGATTTTGGGGGCAGTCTCCCACAGCCACACTTATCCAACATTTGTCTCTGAGTGTTGACTCGACAAAAGGACATTCGTATTTATTATGATTTTGGTTTGAAACACATGCCCATTTGCCTCTCCCAACAACAAAATAATGTTTGTTTTCACATTGCATTATCAGGCAGTATTGAACACCCCAATCCTTTATTTAAGAAAAAATACCACTAGAACAAGGTAAATATGCTCCATTACAGGTAAAATACAGAATAAGTAAAACAGAAATATCAGCAACATATTCTCGTTCTGTGGTGGTGCACATTGTGACTCAGATCTTTAATAATAAGGCAATCATTTGAAAGCAACCTTTAAATGTTGAATTTGCTCGAAATGTAGCTGCTTTTGACTTGAGGTTCAGGCGGTTTTTAGGGTCATGAACCTCCGGGACGGGTTATACACACTACAATCTCAATTAGTACAGTGACTTTCAGTATGGAGTAAAACGTACAAATTAAGTGAATAATGCTATAATATCTTAATAGTGTAAAGTCAAATAAATGCATATTCAAGTAGAGCGCCTCAAACTGTGTTTCTTTGTTATTTAATGAACTTTGAAATCCAATAAACCCTTTTGAAATGGGAAGCCGAGCAGCACGTGACCACTTCACACTTATTCGAACACGCGCCAGCTGAAAAAAACGTTTAACAGTTCACTGAATTCATTAACACAGTTACAGACTGCAAACAACTTCAAAAGACATATTATGTTTGTACATTACAGGAACTTTCCTCTTGTCCCATCAAGATAAAACTAAAAAGATAAATATAATCAAGAAATATATGTTCCTAAACTCAATATCAGAGGCTCCCGAGTCAGGACGAACGTTATCAGCTATACTATTTCTGGCACGTGCCTCCATTAAGAAAGACAGACAAAGATACATTTCGATGAAAACTTAAAAATGTCCTTGTTATACATCACAAAGATAATACAATGCACACGACCATGAAGGGCACCAGCCAAATATGTAATCCTAAATGTCAGAAATGAACCCAGCATAGGACTCCTGCTGCCTTTTATTGGAAACATTGATTTAAAAAACGCAAATGTAGTGCCATAAATTGACTTTTTTTTTGTTCACAAGAAAACCACTACACCATGTTATTGTTACAGCAAGTAGAGATCAGCTGGTAGAGGCATAACACATTATAGTGGAACAACTATAAAATGAGTGCTATTCACTGGCAATTGGGCTGAAAACAGGTCAATGTATTGATGTGAAAGAAGTAAAATGACGGGGCAATGTTACTGCGTAATTTGCATTTGAGTGACCAGCATGCGCAATCGTGTGCCTGGGAACCTGAAAGCTCGCAGTCCTCCACACACTTATTTAATGATGTACTAATACTAACAGATAATAAAAGTGCAAATGGGGAAGTCGCTTTCTGTTTCCCATGAGAAGGAGCTTGGAAAGTGTCTCCCACGCTCGCTTACATCGGATCAGTGACACCCAGCAAGTAACATTTATCCATAACAAAATATAATACAAACACAAATAAATAAAAGCACATTTTCAGTTACTTTTTCACTTCAAGAACCAATAAAACCTCCTTTATAATTTGGATTTCTGTCAACTTCTACGTTCAGCTTAACCAAGTAAAACACCCTGGCACATTTATCTGCGTAACCGGACAATCACCAATTTCTTTCTCGCTTGACGGTTTTCAAATGATGTTCAAATAATTGTATTTTTCAGATAAAAATCGATCAGTAGTCAGACAGCTATAACCAGACAAATGTCCCCTGAATGTGACGGAACTTCAAAGGGCTGATGGAGGTGTTAAGACACGTTTTGTTTCCTATGATGTGACTCCAGACACGCGTAGGAAACAAACGTCCTGTGAGCAGCTGGGGACGAAGAAGGTGAGAAAATGAATGCTAATTACAATGAAAACAAACGTGGACGTGGGCTGGGGAGGGGGTTGTCAGATCATTTAACTTCATCTGGTGAAGACTATATGCTAACGAAGTTCACTTTTAGCTAAGACTGTAGAGTAGTCCTTGATGGAAACAGTGGAAAGCAGTGGAATTTAGAGAGACGAACTGACATAACCAATGGCGTATAGTCATTGTATAAGAATTTGTATAACACTAACTGTAGGAGCAGAATTTCTTCAAGAACATTATATATTGAGGTTTCACAGAATTTGCCAATGTAGTTGGGGAGTTGTATAGTGATGTGATGTTCTGTATACTAGTGGGATTTTCAATAATTTAACCTCATTCTAACCCTATAGAAACTTAATGTAAAAAGATAAAGTGTGCTTGCTGGAAAAGCAGCTAAAGTGCTCAATAAGTATGACAGAGACTCTGCAAATAGGCAATGTTTTGTAAATAAGTAACAGATCACTTTTTTTAAGTTGCATTCTTTCATTTATTTATTTGTGGTGGTAAGCCTTTAGCAGTGACTGGCTATTAGCTTTTGTTATTCATTGATTTAATCTGAAAAAGGCTTTCAACTAAGTGAATAATGTGTGAGCAGGGCTATCTTTTGATGTCTTTGAAGTGAAAACTGATACTGAAGTTGATCACCTATTGGCCAGACTTCACACCTGGAGGATGCAGCTCTGCAGGAGGCTTCACATCTCCAGCTCCGACTAAAAGGAGCTGTCAATGTCAGCACAAACAAAGGGCCTTCAGCTATAGCTTCGGGAAGACAAAAAACAATCTGACACAATTTTTACATTTTAAGAAACGTTTTTTATTATAAAAGAAATACTGCTCACCATAGGGAGACATCCAGAATAAATTATTGTGCAAAATAGGCTAATCATATATTTAAACAGAATATAAGTTATATTGTTGACATGTTTCATTTCAGCAGACTTCATGGCACACAGGTGAATGTGAGGCGTCGCATTGCCTGCTGTAAAGGATGGACACTCGATCGTTGTCCACAGTCTTAAATCTGGACAGTAGATGCATCAGAGGGTTTGAGCAGAGTATGAAGGACAGATGCATCATGATACTCACATCTGCACTTTCTCTTCAGCACAGCAGCCTCCTGATCTAGCTCAGGTGTTTCCCATTCTGAGAAAATCACTGTGCCTGCCTGACTAATACATCACATGCATTAATGAGTAACATTATTTACAGGCTTTGAGCTTTGTGTTCCTCAACATCACAATCAGATAACAGGAGGCCAGTGTTCACAACATTACAATGCAAATTTTCTTTCAGGAGCACTATATAGTTCAGTTGATAGTCAATACAATTTTAGTTTCAGAGTCCACTTCCTGGTGGTCAGGACCAGGGTCTCCACACACTCTGGCTGAGCGGGCTGCTCTGGGACGGGTTCTGTTTTTCAGCTCGACTCTCCACGCTGATCTCAAGATGATTTTGTCTCAGAGTCTGTTGGGGAAACCCCTGCTGGACTGGAAGTTGGTACGGATGAGCAACACTGTGGCCCTGTGTGCGCAGTCTGTGCTTTGACTTTTGTTTCAACATCTGGAGAATGGTCTTTGTGTGCGGCAGAGAGCTGGAGGAACACGCTTCAGTTGTCCTTTTAACACCTGCAGAATCAGACTCTGAGCGGGAAAAACGAGCAGCACGAGATGCATCCAGTGCTGCTCCGAGCCACAGGCCTTTCCCCTCAGGTCCCAGGAACTGAGCAGCATTCTGCAGGCAGGTGGAGAAGCCGTCTTGCAAGGAGTGTTTCTGGGCTCCTGCTGAAGCTGCAGCAGATTTCGTCCTGTGTCTTTGGATGGTGTTCTGCAGGAAAAGCACTGAGTGCTCGAGTATCTCAGCTTTCTCCACTCTGCGCTGAGTCCCACCCTGCATGAAAAAAAGATATGAGTTAATATCGTTTATTGTCAGTATAAGGCCTGAATGCTACACAATGATGCAAAAAAAGTAACATACCTTTACCTAAACAATTCTATCTTCAATATGCGAATGTGCCTGAATTTGTTAAAAAACAATGCATACTCAGTTGACCAGTTACTTTTTCTTGTTTTATGAAGCAACATTATTAAATATCAAGAGATTTAAATCAGGCAGGTTGTTTAAGATCTCTATACATTGAATGATAAATACATCTTTGTAAAACTGAGCTAAAGACAGAAACCATAGTATCTCTTTTCACAAAAGATACAAGTTCACTGAGAGGTTTTTTGTGATATTCCTTACGGGATGTGGTGGGTCTTGAAGCAACATGGTCCTCAGATGTTCCAGACTGCTGTTCATCCTCTCCCTTCGGCGTTTCTCCATCTGAGATTTTATAATCTAAAAGAAGAAGAAAAATATGTGGGGATTCATAAAATGTACAGTTGTGGGAGATTCAATTTCAAATAGTCTGATTTCAATGTTTCCTACTGGTTTTCATAAAAACATTCATTGAGATGTATTTCTTACCTTTCTTTCGTGTGCTGCATCCCCCGTTTCCTGTAGCAGTTTCATTATAGCCGGTGGTCCTGTGAGCTCTTGCTATGTGTTGTCAATTCTGCAACTGATCAGGCAATGTGGCGCGTGTCGTGTCTGACTGCTTTTTGTCCTCCTCATCCCTCAGGCTCCTCCCTCCCGTAACACATTTTTACAACCTAACCCCTCCCGTCAGCTCCTCGAGTTCACCCTTTTTATTGCCAGTAGGATAGCATTTGAATACATCGGACTGTTTCTTACATTTTAACTTTTGGAAAAAAATCCGTCTGTGCTTAAGAAACAAAAACCAGACACCCGGCTATGCACCTTGCTTTACACACGCTCAGATGAAGCTATACGCGTAAACACCTAATCAGAAATCCTTTTATCATCCAAAAGCAGAAACATTTAATAAACAGATCTTAGATGGTTCATTGAAACATAGAACATTCAAGTTAAGATTTGTTATGGCTTGCAATCAGTGGTGCGTAACGTGGAAAGCAGTAGCCTAATGATTTCCTAAGACCATGTTTTTTTCACTGTAGTGTTTGTAGCTGTTTTACTGTAATTTCAAAGCCTAACATAATATGTCCATAGATTGTTCTTGAAATATTACTAGCCTAATACGAAGAGACCTGGATGCAGTTGCGCTTAAGAGAGAGCGTATACCATTTGTGTACCATTTGAGGTCCGAGTGACTGGATAAGTTAGCACTTCTATCCATCTTTTCATCTGGTTTATTAATGTACTAAAAGCCGGGATATCTACGGACATGGGTGCCATTTCTGATGGCAGGTTAAACAATGGTAGTCTACATATTTTGTCTAAAGCATTAATTACGCGTGGCTCACCAACACCACTTTTGAGGTGTTATGTTCCTGCTGAATAAGTCTGTCTCTATTTCTTCCTTATTGGTCCCTTACGAACTGCGCGCTCACTTACGGCGAGTGCCAACACCTTTCCATTCACACTTGACGCCTTTGCATTTGTTAGTCAGACTGCAGGATGAAGTGTGACAATCCATGGTTAACATAATACATTCACACCTCGATGTCACAATAGACCACGCGTGCCATTTGGGCTGCCGTCTCGTGCTGGCGCAACTTTTAGCGCCACAGTCGTTCCACATTTGCTCGTGGAAACTCTTTGAAGATGACAATGGCACCGTGGGAAAGATGAGAGGGTGACGACGCACACGTGGCACTTTTTGATCAAGTGGTGTGAGCCCGATAGCCCTCAGGGGACCTCTGAATATGTAGATTAATTAACAGCCTTGGTTGCATTATAGCTCCACACGCCACACGGCATAGGAATACACATTTGTCTCTTAACTCATTATTACTGAGATGTTGCTAATGTTTGATGCGCCTGTATTACTTTGTGCACAATTTAGTTTGTTATAATGGTTTTTTGTAGTTTTTTTATCATATTTTTTTAGGTGTGGCTCTTAGATTTTACCAGGGACAACAAATGTGTTTTTTTTAAGATCAACTCATTTACATATCTTTTTTGTGTTGAACGCTACCCTTGTTTAATAAACGAATAAAAGGTACGTTAGAAGAGCACATATTATGAGCACAATATACACTGTTAAAATGTGTATTTTGACTCAATCTGATCTGACAGTGCATGAGATTATGCACTTGGTTGATATTGTACCTATCTGGTGCAAATTCCACAATAGTTTTAGGAAATTCAATTAATGTCTTAGTCTTTTGGGCAGTTACCTGCTTTACCCAGGTGATGGTACAACCTTTAGGGCGATACACAATAACATGTTGTGCAGTTTTCATTATCTCTACCTCATAAATATAAAGCAACTTTCAGAGAAATCTGTCCATGAGATCTGTGGATTATATAATCTATTCACCTCCATTGTATTGGGGAAAGAGTGGCGAACATTTAAAAAACTGGGCCAATCAAAACAAAACTGTTGGCCTTGCTAGATACAGCTGGGAGGAAACATTAGGTGTCTATGAATCAACCAACATTTAGTAGCTTGACGCTTTTTGACCTTGACTCCAAATAACTCTGGACCAATCACCATCTGGTTGTGAATACAGAGAGTCTTTATTGTAAAAGAGGTAGAGAGAATACAGGTGTTTCACTGTACAGAAAAAAGACAGCACTGCTGATATACCCATTCACACAATTGACATGGAGTCACACACGCCTCACTCATTTTACAGGGACACATAAGCCCGGTAGAAAACAAACAAACAGAACAGAGAAACAAACACACAAAATCTTTGGATTTTTCTCTATTTTCTTCTCATTCACTAAATGCATTCTCTCTTTTTTCTGAGCGGTTAAAATGATAATAGTTGTAGCATTAAAAATAAAACGGCAATAATATTAATAATAACGATATAGAGTGATAAAAACAATGATACTGCTGTCCCCACCCCCCCGTTCCTTCCCAACCACAAACACACACCTCAGTAACATTTGACAAGTGGTGGAGAACAAACCCTTCACCCTGATAATAAAACCACACCTGCATGCACACAACACACACACATTTGTCACTCTACCATCCGTGCACTCAGCTAATCAAAACAGACATAATAATGACCCACGCTGAGTGGTAAGAAAAGAATAAAATACAACGTACATTTAAAATAATCAAACCAAACAAACAATGTACAAAAACAACTGCAGCCAAGTGGGAAGTGTATGATCATTCTTTCGGTCTTTTCTGCCATCAATCTTCCGTCGCTGTCATTCTGTGCCAGTGGGCAGGGTCCTCAGTCAGAGTTGTCCGAGTTGTCGCTGTGGGGCGAGGCGCCGGCGGGGGGCGAGTTACGACCGTTCCAGTTCCCGTTAGCCTGGGAAATAGAAAGAAAAACAAAGAGACAAAGTGTCAGAGGACAACATGGGCCTTATGTCTGCTTTGCACTTGCCATTGTGTCATTTCGTCACATCACTGGTTATGTTTAGCACCTTAACCAACAAGGGTGCATAATTAGTGCTAATAATAATTAGTGCTAATAATCTACTCTACATAATCACAAGATGCTTTGGATTCATTTCACATTTTCTGGGTAGCTTCTATCACAGTTTATGTGGGGGAATTAAGTGCGAACGGCTTGAAATAAATGTAGGATAGAGTTAAATGTGTTTATTGTGCATTTTGTGGAAGGTGGAAGGAGAGTCTGTAAACGCACAAGGGGGTGAAAAGAAACAACAAAACAAAACGGGACTAATGGATACTGAAATGTATAAAGCCATAATATTAACACAATATTTGTGTGTTATTAACATGATTTTAGTGTTTGTTTTTTCAAATGTCATAGTTATCAATAAAAGTATATTGTTAGACCAATCACATTAATTAAAAGACCAAAACCAACGTGTGAGTGTGTGTGTCAGTATGAAGGAACACATAGTGCAGCAGTGACGCTCAATGTGTTTTTGATAGCTTTTCGAATGAAGCTCTTTGACATAGAAGAATAATATATATCCATTTTGACTAGATTCATTTATTGTTGTTTTTTATGTTTCACGGGATTTGTTGACGGAAATAAAATATCTCCAATCTGATCATTTAAATATGTTTGGAACTACTGCATGAGTGGTATAAAGTACCTGCACTCCCATTGGGTAAGGGGCCTGATCGCCGTTCACAGGGGGAACTCCCAAAAACAGGTCAGCTGACCCAGACAGAGAGAAGGATCCAGATCCTAAAGACAGACAACAGAGCGTTAGAAACGGTTTCCGTGTTGTTGTAGCAGTTTGGGGTGGAACACTATGAATATGTGGTTATTGGTATAATAAATGTCTATATTGTGTGTTACATTGCCTTGAAATGAGAAGTCTCAGGGGGTCTTAAAAAAGACCTAACATTTGCAGAAATGTAGGATGAAATGCTCTATATCAAGCCAACATGTTCAGCCTGTACGGCTTGAGCAGTTAGATGCTGTATCTTACAGCTTAAGCTGTCACATTATGATTCATACAAGCCAGTAGCCAAATACACTGAGGCAGGGAAAGTGAGTCTAGCAGTCACAGAGCAGGTGAATTACTGAAAAAACCCACTATGTGCTTGCTCAATGTCTGACAACCACAAACCTTTCTGATTTCCTGAGCCTCAGGATATACATTGTGTTAAGGTTAGGCATATGATCGACACGTTCTGGTACAGGGACAAAGGGAGGCAGAGAGGAAAAATGCAGAAATGTTTTAAAGCCAGCAGACTGTAGCTTTGGTTGATTTTTAGTACCTGTGGAGTTAGGAGTGTGCGGGGAGTCGTTGCCCTGCCGGACCACCAAGGCTGTTTTCATGGCATAAAGGTTCGCCTCCTCTTGGAACTTGCCTATGTTTTTCTTGTAGCGGATTCTTTTGTTGCCAAACCAGTTGGAGACCTGGCAGTAAATAAAAACAATACAAAGGTCAGTTTACCCTTTCAATTAAATTGATAAATCCTGAGCAGTAAAATGTTAACACATAAAGCAAATTGTAATTGACGAATTACAAGAGAGGTGTCTTTAAGCTCGAGTATAGAAAACCTGACACTTTTCGTTTCACCATCACAGAAACTCAACTACAGACTGCTTTAGAAACATTGAATGTCAACCCTAGATGGATTCAAAACAATAAACAACAAACCCTCATCCTTTCTTTCTCCACCACCCTTTCTTGAGGCTCACTCCTTAATGTACAGTCAGGTTTACCTGAGAGACGGTGATTCCACACGATTTGGCAAGTTCCTCTTTGGCTTCTTCACTCGGGTAGGGGTTAGAGAGGTGGGAGTAGAAATACTCGTTCAGACCCTCTGTGGCCTGTTTGCTGAAGTTGCGCCTCTTGCGCCTGATGAAACACAAACAGGCATATTATTGAATCATTCAACCTTTATTTATACTCGAGAGAACTTTGAGGGCAACCCTCATTTACTGTGACATTAAATAAATGACTAAATACAAAGAAAAAAGTTAAAAAAACAACGAAAATTAAAGAGAAGAGGCCACACAATTATGATAACACTAAATATCCATTGACATTTCTTAGATTCTGTTAGTCTAAGCATTTTTATTCAACTA